CATGCTTTACTCTGGTACTCAGTGCCTCATTGAACAGCAGTTTAGACAGCATTTGGAGAAGAGCAGCTCCAACTTTCCCCACAGCAGTAGGCAGCTTAATTTTAATGATTAGGTGAGGTTTTGCAATCTATTTAATTCCCTTCAAGTTATGGTACTGCACCAGTGCTGCAGCAGTTCAAGGTGCATTCTGTTCTCATAGACCCCCAGAGCTGCTCTGCAAAATCTGAGTGGCCTTAAGCAGATGTGGCCATGCCAGGAGCTGGAAGAAGTACAGAGAAGAAAAGCCCTGGGGGAATTTGAGAGAGGGCTGCTACCGACAGACAGGATGGGATGGTGGAATTTGAAGCAGCAGCCAGCACTGGTAAAGTTAAACAAATCTCACTTCAGCCCCAGACCAGATGATGACAAAAGAGGGTTTGTTTGTGCTCCCACGTACATCATGAAGATGAAAGAAGCTATTTGACCTCAAAGAAAAAGCTGGGAGAAGAAAAATGCACACAATTTGGTGATGAATATAAATGTAAAATAGCGGGAGAGAGAAAAGTCCCCTCCCAGGAGGCCGTAAGGTCTGTGCACCCTTTAGGTCCCCCTTAGGAGCATCTTCAGCTCCTGCCTGCTGTTTTACCTTGGCATCCCCCAATCATCTCCCTTTTTCAGATCACACACTCCCGAATCTCTGACAAGAAACAACTGACAAAACGGTCTGACTTGCACAAGCTCCTGGCCTTTTTCTAAAACTGTTTCCTACTGTCACTTCCTCTTTCCTCCTGTCATCATGACTCAAGTCCTGCAGCTCCACTGAAGCTCCCTTCTGTCTCTACAGTAACTGAAAGCACAACTAAAAATTGCTGCTTAACACACTTTTTCTCCCTTCCAGGAATAAGACAGGAGCTTAGTGTATATCATGGGAAGACATAAAGGACAGGACAGAAAACATTGTTACTATTAAAAAAACCTGATTTGGACTACCAATTTCCATCCTTGTTGACTTTGCATCAAACAATAGCATGCAAGATTTATATAAAATTTTGCAGCCTTATTGTAGTATCATTTTACTCCCACTCATATACACTGATTTATTTCAGAGAAAGTCCAACTTATATTCTTCTCCAGACACCACTTGTCAGAATTTCACAGTAATCCTCTACTGATGGTCAGTGAGTACAACATATGGAAAAAAAAAGTCACACAGCAAATTAACTTCATTGCAGTTGTTTAAAGCCAAGTATAAGTCCACAATTGGACCCCAGTTAAACATTAAGTTGTTCTACTTTATGCCTTACCTGCCTCCCACAGGCACAGATTGAGAACGTACAGAGAAGAGCAGGCCATATATAAACTAAATAAATAAATAATTCCCACCCTATGAAATGTAAGTTATTGTTTGCACACAGTGGGAAAGAGTGATCACTTTAAGTGTCATGATCAACACTTCCAATAATGAAAGTGAATTTGAAAAAAATCAGAAACATCTGAGCAATTCTCAATCCAACTTTAAAGAGCATTTTGAAGGCTTTACATGAATTGAAGGAACACTGCTAGGACAACAAACATAAATGGTAAGAAATGCTGAAGAACTCTTATGTGAGTAAAACCCACAGAGAATACCTCAACTTAATGCAAATACCAATAGTTTGTCTTTCATGCAGAGCCAAATTATTTATGAATTCACCATCCTTTTTATTCTCAGAGAATGTTGATCTAAGCACAGGATGAATACAAATCTTTTATGTTCTATTTGAGTAGAAATATATAACAATTTCATCAGATTTCACCGAATCAGCAAGGTGTGAGAGCAGGCAGATTAGTATCAGGGAAAGATTTTCCCTTTCTTATGTAGCCTGTTTTGGTTCATTCAGAGACACTAAACATCTGAGGTTTGAGTAATGAAATATACAGTTAGAAAGCAGACTTATTTCTTGTAGTCTGTTCCTGTCTCTGGGTAACATGGTACTCAACTGTTTCATTAATTTCCAAATGAGAGTATACCTTCAAGTAGATTTGTGACACATAATGGAAATCCTGCTAAAACCAAGGACCAAATCCTTAGTTTAATTCTGATCTTACTCACTGGACAAATGTAAGCATGAATTTAATGTAGCTTTGATACCACGCATGTTTCTTTATTTAGAGAGGAATAAGTTGAAATCAGTGAGGCTGTATCTGCTCAGGATATCAATGATTTTGGCCCTACGCTTGTTTTTATGTGTTTCCTTTTGCTTAATGGATTTCAAGGGAAATAAAGACTTTATGTGTGATATAATTACTGTTTTGGTCTAGTATCTTGAGTTATTTTTCCAGCGGAAACTTCTGGGTGGGAAAACTTGACACTTTGGAAAGAGTGCCAAAATTTAGTGCAAGTTTATATTTACCAAAGGAACATTTGACATTTCGTTGATGCATCACAAAGAGAAATAAGGGACACACCTGACAGGATTATCTTGTACTGAAATACTTTAAAACAAACAATGGCACTGCTGAGCAGTAAGAAAAAGCAAAGCAAAGGCATGAGTACTGAAAAGGAAACAACTGTGATCCTATGTAAAGTGTGAATATTACTCAGAGCACAATGACACAATCCTTATTTTTACAGTATAGGAGAAACCTTCTAAAGCATATCCAAAATACTGGATATTTTTAAATAGTTTAAGGCATTTCCAGTGTAAATACAAAAGTGCTTTATTACAACTTGCATACCCTCCCATCTGAAATATTTAAAAAGAAAATCTTATGGAAAATCTTTTATTCCAAATCTCCCATGTGTAAATTTTAGTATGGTGATCTTAAATTTCTTCAGAGACATTTTTGCTTCCACTTCACCTTATTATAACATTCCATTCTCACACAACTTTCATGACATCCCTAAAAACAGACAGTGGTTTTCTATCCCCAAACTGCCATACACAAAATAGATTGGGGGTTATCAGAGATTTGCTCTATTTTCAGTTTCCTATCTATGCCAACCTCAACTTCCATGGCAAATGGTGATGAAAAAGACCATTAGGCAAAGCAATAAAGAGTAATATAAAAGCTCATTATAAGCCCAATTCATAAAATTACAAGCTGTAGCGTGCAGTATGCACAAGTAAAACTGAAAACCAAGTTCAAGCATACCAAATGAGATTATAAACTAGCTGTTGTTTTTCTGTCTGAGAAAAGCCATTCTTTAATGAGCTTGGAAACGCAGCTAAATATTTTCTTCCATAAATTCAAGAAAAAGCCATACCACTTTTGAGACTTCTGCTGGGCAGCTTTTTCTCCTCCCTCTTTTCCTCTTTTAAATTTTAAATACTGCATAGGAACCATTTGCTCTGTAAGGTTCCCATAGTTAGGACCAAACCTTCTCAGAGGAATTTTGGCACCTTATTAATTAGTTAGTTATGAGAAGGAGCTGCACTCTTTCAGTGACTCCTATTTTGCCATCAGTAAAGTGTGATCCCATAATAAATTTCCATCAAGCAAACTATTTCTGGTAATTCCCCCTAATTAACACCAGACTGCTAATAATAAATTAGGCTCTATGTGTTTTTGATATAACCAAGATCTTGTCTGAGCCCAAGATATTAACCAATGTCCCAAGAAAGTAAAACTTGAACCTAAATTAAGTCTTTGCTGGTAAAAGGATTTATATGCAATTTTGTGAGAAACCCTTTGAAGATCTCATACAGGGCATTTTGACCAGCAAATATTTTGAGTGACAGAGAGATTTGTTCTGTGCTGAGCAGTGAAAGTGGATTTATTGTGAAAACACACCATTGAGTTTTAAGCCTATAAATCTTACACTGGATTACAGCATCTTAATGAATGAATGACAGATTTCTTTTTTTCTTGTCGGTGCATTTTAATGTTACATGACGTTGTGATTGATAGAAACCAAACCTTTGCCATTAAAACGTCAAATGTAGACTTGATGCCTTTAAAAGTTTGGCTTCTGGAGCTTAATATACTGTTTGCAAATAGACTTGCATTTGTCTCGTTCATAGCCTAAACACTGAAGGGGAGGCAAGTTTTCTGTAAAGCTGCCTCTAAATCTTATAGAGCTGTGTGCAGTGTTTTCCTTTGCTTGTGTCAATAAAGGTAGAAAACAACAGTGCATTGGCTTAGTTAAGAGATACTCAGCTAAGGAGATTCTTACCAGACTAGTATTATCATGAAGTAATTGGCCATGTTATAGTAGAAAGTTAAGTATCCCACGATGAAAGTGGAGACTGCTGGGTGCCAAGGCTAAGTACAGTATCAGGGAATGCTTGCCAGAGTAGGCAGTATTTCCTTGGACAGTGTCAACTTAGGAAAAATATTAAACACTTCTAAACAAACATTGCAAATTATTCTAGATGGGCAGTAGAATGAAGTAAAGATACCAAATAAATAGTAATTGGCCAAGATAGAGTTTTACACTGTTATATAGTCTACAGTAATCAATAGACTATTTACATCTTTAAATCCATCTTGAGAAAAGATGGAGAATCAGAGACTCACCAAGATTGGAAGGGACCTATAGAGATGGAGGACCTTGACTAGTCCAAGGGCTGTGTCCAGTTGGGTTTTGAGTATCTCCAAGTACAGAGACTCCACAATCTCTCTAGGCAACCTGTGGCAGTGTTTGACCATCCTCACAGTTGTTCTGTCACTATCTACCACTGAACCAAGTCTGGTTCCATTTTCTTGACTCCCCTGTCCAGATATTTGTATAAATGAAATTTCCCCTGAGCCCTCTCTTCTCCATGCTGAACAGTCCCAGCTCTCTCAGCCTCTCTTTGTATGAAAAATGCTTCATGCCCTTAATCATCTTCCTAGTTTTTTACTCAAGTACAGCCATGTCTCCTGTACGGATGAGACCAGCACAGGACTCGGGTCTCCAGATGTGTCTCACCAAGGCTGAGCAAAGAAGGATCACCTTCTCCAATCTGCTGTATACAATCATGGCTTTCTTTTACTGACTATGATTCAGGAAAAGAAAACATCCAGCAATCACAAAATAACTGAGGACAGATAGAGAATTTCAGGTTTTGAGTAGGGTTTATTTGCTTGTTATGTTTTTCAATCATAATTAAATTTGCAAATGTGAACAGCCAAAATTTGATGCCAAAGACTATTAAACACAAGCAAAGAAATCACTGAGACTTAACAGCTAGTAGATCAGCATAAAATAATGTTTGCAAAGCAGCTCACATGGCCAGATGATGCAAGTAGCCCTGTGAAGAATTAGGTACACAATTGAACAGACCAATACACACTGAAACACAATTCAACTTTTGCTTTTATGTTTATTGCATGTTATATTAAGCATTTATATTTACACATAATCCTGAATTATTTAGTTACAATATGCTGAAACTGTCATTGTGAATCAATTATTCACTTACAAAGACCTTCTACCTTCAAACAAAGTTAAGCCCCATTCTCTTATAGGCAGTTTTGGAAGAAAAACAATTACTGACTGAAAATGCATGCAAAAAGCTACAGTAGTTATGTTACAAACACGTCTCTCCTGACTTTCTAACATTCCCTCAAAACATGAATGTTATACATGTGTTGTATGAAAAACACTTGGGAGTCTCACGAAATCCCACACTGATGGAACTGTGCTGACTTTTGCTACGTCAAGTCTGCATTCAAATACACGTATATATGTATGTCTCTCAATGTACATGTATATGTGTGCATGTATAGAGAAAGTATATATAAACATGCACACATACACACACTCACACCCCAAAAGATCCTAGAGGTAAAGGCAGGCTTAAAAATAAAACAAAATACAAAGATACCAGGATGAAATAGTTCTAAATAAAAAAAAAAAAGTAATAAATATTCAGTGAGAAATATGGCATTATTATAAAGTGCTCTACTATAATCTCACTTATTAAAATAACGATAAAAATTATGTTCCTTTTAGTTGATTTATATAATTTGGTAAAGCCATTAAATATTCATTATGTATCAGTGACTCTATGCTTCCTTTTAAATTTTAAACAAACAGATAAAAGCAGAAATTAAAAGGCAAAGCAGCTACATGAAGCAGTTCTATTGAAGCCTTTCAGGCTTTTGTCCTCAAATTCATTAACAACTGAAAAATTTCAAACCCTAGAGCACATAGATTAAAAAATACAATTCCAATTAAAATTATGAAACTAAACAAAATTTAATTGGATTTTAAGGACAAACTTAGAAGTTTCTATCTTACATTAAAATAGCAAGGTTTGAATTGCAGAAATTACTGAAGGCCTTATCCTGTGCATTTCCACCCTCTTTCCTCACACATGTGCAATATAGTTCCACTGAAACCTAGTCTCCAGGTTTCATTTTTCCACATTCCACTTAATTTCAAAAGCAACCTGGCTTATATATTACTGTATTTTGTCCAGTCTGCTTCTACCCTTCTGATTTTCAGCCAAACTCACAGAAGGGTACATCAACGAGAGTGTAAACATTTTAAACAGTTTTATACCGTACCACTAAATTTCTTCTTATTTACAAATATTTACCAAATTTACCAAATTTCTTCTGTACCACCAGAACTTAAAAAAAGAAACATGGTAGTATTGAAGAAAAACAACTTCAGGAAATAAAGTGAAACAGCCCCACAATGTGAACCTGTCCTGCTGAATTAATAAGAAAGTCAAATATCTTTTCATATTTAAGTACAGCAATTTTGGTTTTCTTTTCTCCTCTTTTGCTGATGTTCCTCATTACAATTGCTTTAGTCAACCATGGTGATTTTTTGTGATTTTTCCCCATGGTTTTATGGATAAAACTGTCCTTTGTATCAAGACACCCTCCCCCTCTGCCCCTCCTCCCAACAACAACACTAAATGTTTTTTTTAATGTCTATTAGACAGAGTACTAAAGACTAACAATTCAGCCCTGATATCTCAGCTGAATAAAATAGCATGTAAATTCAGTTTCCTTCAGGAATCTGCTCTGATCCCAAGAGGACCCCCTTCTCTGTTGTGCAATTCTGCTGGAGCAAAATTCACCCTGTGCAGAGGGGCACCACCTTTTCCCTATCTGCTTACAGTTGCTCCATACCACTTAAGCCCTAATTTGAAGTTAAGTAGGGACTTAGCTGGTGCACAGGCCTTGTGCTGACTCTCTGTGTGGATGCAAAATTCATATTAAGCCACAGAATTGGTTAGTCTCCTGGCTCACAGTAAATGCATAATGACAGCATTGTCTCTCTGCTCCCTTCCAAGATCTGAGATACTGGGCTGCTTAACTCAATGTAGTATTATTCAACAATATATTCCCTACATCTCAAAGAAAAGAGAGAAATAAAACCCAAACTAATAAAAATCAAAACAGCTGAGCAAGAAAGTTAAATTTTCAGTATTTTACCTGGCACACCACCAATATACATATTCATGAGCTACATGGTAAAGAATGTACTGAGAGAAAAACAATGTCCTCATTTGCACTTCAGCAGTTGTCCTCATTCAATACCAGAATCTCACATTCTGGATATAAAACACTGTTACCTACAGATTCAGTGCAATTTCCCCTTTCCTTAAAGGAGAAAGGCACTTAAAGCTTTCTAAAACCTGAACTGCAAACAGAAGAGTGTAAATCCCTGTTACCTTAAGATCTGATCTGACATTTCCATCCTGTCAGCACACCTTCAGCAGCAGGATTTTTTGGCCAGTGTTCTGATAATACATGAGTTAAGGAAGAGCATCCCATTTATGTTTTCTTCTAAGTGGCATCTTCTAAACTATTCTTTTTCACCAGTATAGCCACTGGCCCACTTAACTGCTTTGTAAAAATCTCTGTCCCTTGCAAACCCATCAGAAATTTAAGTGCAAAGGCACAGGTACATGTAGTGTTGCAGGAGGCTTTATGTATATGAATATCAGATAAAAATATTAGTTTCTGAATTATAAATTTTGTGTAACCTTTGCTTTGTGTCCCTTTTAATGGAGTTTAGCTGCAATATTTTTAGACACACTTTAAAAACATCACTGCAATAAAGCAATCTGGATTGCTGAATCCAATCTCCTTTTATTTGTTCAAGAGCAGCAAAACCGAGACTTCTAATATCAGGTATTTATTTTTATAGATACTTCACTTCTCATACTGAAACAGATATAAATGTGGTCATAAAATCATGAAACTAGTACAGTAATGTGCCAAGTGTAGAGGTAAAGGCACTCTAATTGTTTGGCTTGGGTGCAGTTCCTGATTCCTCTCTTTTTATGAAGCAAAATCTTAATGATAAATGCTCTGAAAAATTAGTTTACAATACCTCTGAAAGTTTCCCCATCTCTCTTCCATTTTAGAAAAATTGTATATAAATAATTTTAACCAATTATTGAACATGGACATTTTAACCTTTCTGCTCAGTACATTTGTTACACACAATGAGCTCCGAGCATCAGATGTTGATAGAATGAGCGTGTTTCTTGCACAGTGGCTTGTCCTTCTTGGAGAAGAAAGTCTGGCCCTCCAAACTGTCACTACATACCTGAAATGGGATAAAAAAAAACCAGATCACCCAATTCAGATGGATGAATTTCACCACAATTATTCAGAATGCCAAATCATGGTATTGTTATATGCACAAATATATTAAAAGAATAAGAATTACCTTTTTCTTAAGGATACTCTTTTTGATGTAATACTAGTGGTTGGTAAGCATAATCTTTCTTTAAGACAACAGGTTTCTAACTGGGAGCAGAGTTAGGTTCAGCATTAAAAAACAAAACAAACAAAACAAACCCAACCCAATCATTAAGATTAGGATTGTTGGTTGTTTTTTTTTGGTCATACAATATTAGCAGGCAATACCTTGGCTACAGTGTCTTTATGTCAAAAGCACTCTTGCTACTTTGGAAACGCAGCCCATTCCTGTATGACCTCCAACACTTTCTCCAAAGAAGTAAACGTCATGGGTTAAATGCTAGGACACATGGTTGCAATCCGGGACAACTTCTCTTGGACCTGTGCCAAAGGCTTACAATAGCAACACACCTTCCAAATAACTTTTTGTTTGGGCCCAGGGGATTGAAAGAGGTTAGAGCTGTTAACTCCCATATTGGTCAGGTTAGCACAAGCACTGCTGCCACAGGGTTGTTTAAAATGTAGACTAGCTTTACTTACGGAGCATACAAAGCAAGTGTCATGCCAAGTGTGGCCCAGAGCCTCAAGAAACCTGTCTCCAGCTTCAATGGGGAATTCACACCCATGGCACATGGTACCAAAGAGGGCATAATAATCTGCAAAGAGATACAAACAGATTTTAAAGCATATGCAGAAAAGCAAGACTGACCCTTTGAAAACTTTGAAAGGCAATATATTTATTACATTTAACAAAAAGTATCTCTAGGGTGTCAGGATGGTTATTAGCGACCAGACTTTCTGAAGTGTATGTGCACCATTCATTTTTAAGCACTGGATTGACTTGGAGCCTCTGAAGGCTTCCTGGACTTAGCAGATAAAAACTCCTCTAGGAGTATCAGGGAGCAGCAGGGACTAAAACAAATGGCACTGAACCGTTTGTATTTCTCAACCAAGCAGAGCTTCAAAAAGAGAGAGCAGAGCAGACTAAGAGAACAAAATACATGTATAAAATTGGGTGGGAGCCACTGACAACTCACCCCTATCCCCACAGTCTTGGTGTGTGACACTGCTTTTGCCCCATCTCAAGGGCTGCAAGTCACTCCTTTGCTGCCCACCTGTGCAGGTCTAAATTTCACCTCAAGTTGTCTGGTCTTTTTCACTTATTTCAACTCTCGAACACCCCATTCTAGAAAGGAAACGATTTATTCCTGCACAGAAGACAACAGCATTCGTGCATGAGAGCATTTGGGATCAGCACACATCATGCAAACATTATGTCTTTGTAAGATGAACTACAGACTGACAGACATAATGAAGCTTTGGACTCCATCTACCAGTAAGTAAGTGTTACTGCCATAGTAACACTCTGCTCTGACAGAGAAATTAGATGCCAGGGGTTGTTTTCAAAGGAGATATATAAGGAATGAGAAAAGGGGTAGAAGTGGATTTTGTTTCTCTCTAGATTATACAGATCTGCTACAGATCTGCTGAAGTTCTAGTGCTTACTGCAGCAGAGTCAGTGGAGGATTATAAAATGTGTCAAGTCCAAGAGCAAAGTCCTGTTTTCATTTAGTGAGACTGTGTTTTGTGTGATGATCTCCCTCAAAACGCACTATCACAGGAGACGTATCAACAGGATAGGAAACACAAGTGCTCTGGAAAAGCAAAGCCCTCTGGCTGCCAGTGGCAAGAAGCTGCTTCACTGATCACCTTCATTAATCCATGCTACTGGGATGAGTTGCAAATGTTTTAAGCAGAAGAAAGACCATAAAAATATCAAATGTTAGGACGTGCTTGTGCAAAACCCCTGAAGGACATGATCTCCTGACCATACTGTTTCAGGTCTTTGCCTTTGCGTTCACACAGAATCTTACTGATATTTTCCTGGTGCCAGGAGTTAAAGCCTTTTATAAGTTGGCCTGTGGTTTGTGCTGATAAGTTTATTCGCTTTTCTTTTGAAGAAAGGGCAATAGATAAGGCAGAATGAAGGGCATCAGCTTTCTTTTGCTTTTGCATTCTTGAATTGCGACACCACAGAAGTCTTGCAAGTAAGACTTCTCATATGGTGACATATCAGTACTTCCTGCATACTGCATTTTCAAAACTAGGTTACTAACTCTGCACTTAAAAAAAGTTCAAAGTGGTAGATATTTGGACTTTTAATTTAATTTTAGCCCTGACATCCAAACCCAGAACATTTTTCAGATTAAACACCCTTAATACTAATAGCTGATGCTGTTATAATTTCAAATACAGATTTAAAATTAGAACCCTCCTTTACACTAGGAAGCAGGAAAGTTGGAAATGACATTTACTCTTTATTTCTTTAAAATTAGTCTTAGACTCATAACTCCAGCTGGACCGAAAGTCTTTGAAGAATTAATATATTTCAAATTAACATCTAGTTAGAGAACCAGAGCCATTACAAAGTATCGCTGCCAATAACACCTCACAGAATGTGTCTACATTAACTTGTGCTAGCAACTTTCTATCTTAGAAATAAACTCTGCAAGAAGCGTAGTATACTTGACATTTTATCACAGTTTTTCCTGGTCACAGTATTGAAATACGCACATTTGTGCACAGGAGTTGTAACAGTAGCACAAATCAATGCACCGCATGACATATGGATTATTTGGTGGCAGGAACAAGAACTGAACCTTAACAGAACAAACCCGGTCACAAGCTTTCCACCCAAAGGGGAGTTATTGATTCCTCCAGTACTATTTTTGAATCATCAAATGGTTCCAGGATTAGGGGCTTCAGATTGCTTCAGGATGAAATTTCACCATGCTGTCACATTGGAGGATGCTGCTTGTATACCCGTATCCTCTGCTGCTCCACGGATTCAATAGGAGCAACACGTTCCCCTACTTGTGTCACCAAGTTAGCAATAACCTACTGTGTCCTTTTGTATCTGCCAACACCTCATTAAAGCTGCTCTGACAACAGAAATTTTGGATAAATTTTGCCTGCTTTCTTTATCCTTACAGCACCTAGCATTCTCCATGGCACCCGCTGCAAACAACTGTGGGATCAGCCCAGAAGGAAATCTTAGCTCCAAAGAGGTCATCAGTATTTCATGCTAAGTCATTTCCTGGTCAATCCATTTCTACCTCTAGTTAAACTGTAATGCTCCTAAGAGTAGAAGGAAAACGATAAAAAGGGTCCAACTGTCAGTTCCAACACAGATGTAAACAGCATGCAGTGTGAAAGCAGATAATTTTGATACATTTTTGTCTCTTTGCCATTTTAAAAGGAATTGTTTTACAAATTATTTCTTTCTTTCCTAGGCCAGAGGGGTAGGAAAGCAAATTAGGAAATCAACATAAATAAAAACTGTTCATATTAATAATAATAGGTTGACAAGAAGCTCAACATGACTTGGCAATGTACGCTTGCAGCCCAGAAAGCCAAAAGTATCCTGGGCTACATCACAGGAGAAGTGGTCAGTAGACAAGGGAGGGGATTCTGCCCCATCTACTCTGCTCTGGTGAGACCCCACCTGGAGCCCTGCATCAAGCTACTGGGCTTCCAAGATAAGATGGACATGGACCTGCTGGAGCAAGTCCAGAGAAGGTCACAAAGATGCTCAGAGGGCTGGAGCACCTCTCCTACGAAGAAAGGCTGAGAGAGTTGAGGTTGTTCAGCCCGGCAAAGAGAAGGCTTCAGCAAGACCTTACAGCAGCCTTACAGTACCTGAAGTGAGCCTACAAGAAAGCTGTAGAGGGACTTTTCACAAGGGCATGTAGAAACAGGACAAGGAGGAATGGTTTTAAACTGAAAAAAACCAGGTTTAGATTGGATATTAAGAAGAAATTCTTCACTGTGAGGCTGGTAAGGCACTGGAACAGGTTGCCCAGAGCAGCTGTGGATGACCCATCCCTGGAAGTATTCAAGGCCAGATTTGGTGGGGTTTTGAGCAACTTGATCTAGTGGAAGGTGTCCCTGCCCATGGCATGTGATATTGGAACTAGATGATCTTTATGGTGCCTTCCAACCCAAACCACTCTATGATTCTATAAAAAAAGTTATAATTAGCTGGAAGTGCTAAAAAACAATCCAGAATCCCTCTGAACTTCTAAGCCACATCATTCATGTAATATTGCTCATCAGGCTTTCGAGTGCTATAATTGTTTCACCGTATTTTTCCTGACAGCCTGTTTTGTTTTTTTTTTATCCCAAGTGTATGTACAACAGATGTTATCCTTGATCCTGCAGAAAACTACCTGGACAGACTGCTTTCTCTTGGAAGTCCCTCAGGCTGTGAATGAGGCTATTCAGAGTAAAACGCATTACTACACTGGCATTTGCTTGTGTTTAGTAAATAAGTAGATTTACATAAACTTCAGATTATTTTAAACTAGAAAGTCACCCTAAAATTAACACTCTGATGTATCGCTGATACCTACAGCTGAGGGTTTCACAAGAAAAGGTAAAATCAGTGACATGAAACCTGCTGCTGCCAAAGCTGATGAAGAAATCTTCATCAGCTTCTCCTGATGCAAACCCAAAGTGTTGTCTACAGCAGTTGTTGCTACTTTGAATCGACATATCAAAGTTACATGAATCTGCTGGGGCAGTTCTGATGTGAGGCTTGAGAAAAAGAATTTATTTTTTTCCCAGCCTTATTGATCTCTGCTTCCCCACACAGCTGCAGTAAACTTTGGTTATGTTGCTTCTTACCCGTCTCACAGTAGGGATCACCATCTTCTAAGTGGAAGACATTATTGCGGATGGGGTTATGACAGGCCACACACACGAAGCAGGAAACGTGCCAAGTTTGTTTCAAAGCATTTATTACTTCCTGTGGGGATTAGAAAAAGTGTTATGAACACATTATTTTGATGTGATGACTAGATTGTGGTAACCATGCCTCCACACTTGATTCATTTCAAGAATACTTTGTTTCCTACTGCTACTTTGAAAGTGGGTTGTGCACAAAAGTTCTGCGATGTTAAACTTAATGAGGTGCTTTATTTATGGTACATCTACTTATTTTTCATGAGCAATCTTTCGGGGTTTTTGGAAGGTTCAGCGTAGAGTTGGACCGGTTTAACAACTCATTTGTTCACTTATTTAATTTTAATTACGATCTCACCTACAACAGTCCCCTGAAAAAAGAAAAGCAGCATCTCTGCCTTCTCCTGAAGTCTGTGAAGTTAATCAAAAGACATCACATAGAAAATTATGACTGCTCTGTGTTGTTTTGGAAGATGCTACAGTGCCAAATATGACTTGAGAATTGTGTTGCCAGAGCCCTGCATGACCCCAGTTACACAAGAATCCAGACACGTTGCTGTCTGCAGTAAAACAGCGGCCGATCAGCTGGCAGGCTCAAATTAGCAATATCAGTGCCGAGTAGGATAACACGTCTTTCTATCTGCATTACCACTGGGAATATTTCAGTACTTCACATCTAGCCAACCACTGTGTTCTTCAATGCTCAGTTCAGCTAAGAGGATTATTTCTTTTTATTTCCCCTCTGCCCCCATTCTGTCAAAAGCTGCCAATTAAAAACATTTTGCTCAAGAAAATTTGGTAACCAGAAAATTTGGTAATCAGAAAATTTGGTAAACAGCTACAGAACAGCTTCATGAAAACAGGAGCTGAACTTGGAAGAGCCAAGGAGACTACAGCACCTTTTCTCAAAGAGGTTGAAAAGGTTCAACATTAGAAGAGCCAAAACCACAATTTGTATGTGATGGGAGCTAAAAAGGTATGTTAAGAGTATGTTTGAAAGAATGCAGACTGGGACAGATAAAAGAGAATTTCATTGCAGAGACTCACTGAACACTGTTGTTATTGTTCCCATCAAAAAACAGGCCACTTGCTGGTCACTTACCCCGAGGATCTTCCTCTGGCACTTTGAACACTCAGGGGCAAAGAACTTCTCATAGCAGACCTCACAATACAGCATCCCTTTCTCTTCCACAAATCCAATGTAAGCCATGGAGGTTTTGCAATGGGCACAATTGAACTCCTCTGGATGCCATGACTTTCCCAAAGCCACCAAAAAGGGTCCTCTGATCGGAAAGAAGAGATATTGTCAGCAAATACTCCTAGGTTGGCTCCAGCGAAAGCTGCTAATAGGCTTAATCTACAATACCTCTGAGTCATTACTACCAGTATATACCACTGTCTCTATATTCATCTGAAAATATATTCAGCATGCTAACTTCTTTAATGGCCATATTTACTTCAGTGAGGTATCTTCAAGGTCCCACTAACACTCAACCTTCCAGAATACAGGTTTCAGGTGATCTTTGTGGTTCAAGTTTATCTCCCTCACCAGAATTCCTGTTTTTTTCTAAGGCCAATAAAGATGTCATTCTTTCAAGAACTGCATCACTTTTTTCTGATCTAATACTTCACTGCAAAAAAGAAGTGTAAGGTAATAATATCACCACCTGCTGCTAGACATTTTTTTGGAAATCAAGTAAGCTACAAGAACGTTTTCGTGTAAGATTTTTATATGAACAAAGCAATAGCAATAACGAAAAGAAAACAACAGGAAAAAAACAACAAACAACCCCCCCCAAAAACACCTTGAAATTTGCTTATGTTGACTCCAAGATAGGAATATAAGCAGGGAGAGAACAGAGGGCACCTTCATTAAGGGTAGAGGATAATTATTTTTATTTCTCTTCTACAATTTCTCTGGTAACATTATGTATTTTTAATAGGATGAGAAGTCAAAAACAAGGGACTCAAACAGATTTAGGATAACTCAAAGGCCTTGTAAGATGATGAACATATATGTAATCTGAGACAGTTTCTTCTATTCACCTCTGATTATTGGAGAGAATGCAGTGAAAAATGTCTCCTGGAGAGAGCAGCCTGTAGCCCTTTAAGGAGGAGCTGGGGCTGAGCGCAGCTCTCCAGCCCCCTGCTCCCAGCGGATGCCTGAGCAGTGCAAACACTGACCTAACCCGATACCCTCCCTGCTCTACAAGCACCTTTTTACATCAATGCCCTTTCAGTTATGTACTGATCAAACAATACAAGCCCTTATGTACAACAAAGTGCTCTCAGTGCGCCGTGTCAGCACAGGCTAATTTAAGAGATTCATTAACACGGGGCTGACACCAAAGAGGCTCTCCCGGATCTAGGTAGTATTGAGTTTCTGGCCATCTGCACCGAAATGATAGGCTCAGTTAGCTCTGCAATGGAAAGCAAGTGTGCTAGCAACAGGAGGGGAAGGAATTTTTACATCTGCTGCATTTAGCTCTCCATAGTTTACAGCTCTGACATGTTGAGGTTAGCCATTCAGGACAGTGCGCAGGACCCCAGACGGATGGGGAACAGCCTGGGAGTGTACCTACAGAGTTCCTTTCCCAAAGTCTCCAGACAGCTGTGGCTGTGCCCTGCACAATGTCTATGAGGTGTTCCATTAGCAGACTGGCTCCCTGTGCACACATGTCCAGAAGAACACTTCCTAAATACAATTTTACTTTCAATCGGGCTGTAGTTTAAACATGTCAAGCTGATACTGCAGCTTAATGATACCTGCAACCTAAAAGCTGCCCGAAAGCACGTGGAGAAAAAGAAAAAAACAACAACCCCAAACCAACACCTGCCACGTAAAATACACTGAAACGTGATATTCAGAACTTGGAGGTGTTCCCAGTCTCAGCATAATTTTGCCATCAAAATGATAGTTTCCAGCAATGAAAGGTATTTGCTGTATTAATTTGAAAAAGAGTCCCAATTTGAGTAAAGGGCATGCATGCCCACACTCATGCAATGTGACAGGAAGTCACATTGAGATAGGGGGATGAAATGTTAGGAAGATGGCTGCAGATGGCTTCAACATTCCTTCTCCATTTAAAAACAAACCCAATAAAAATCCCACATGCCTCCATCAACCAGAACATATTTTTAAAAGTACTGCTAAAAAACCATGCTCCTACCATCCACATGGGAAATGAGATGACCCAACTGGCAACAGTTGGCTATGAATGTGCCTCTATCCCAGGCTACTTTGACATGTTAAACATTTCTGAACAAACTTCTGACAATACCATCTAGGCCGCATGAAATGAACTCACAGATGAAAACGAACTAGTCACTGATTTACTATTTTTTAAAAGGGATTTTATTTTAAAAGGGATTATATTTTAAAAAGGATTATTTATGAGAGTATTTACAGAATCTTATGCCCCAAAGGATCACTATGTACAGAAATTTGGTAGTCACCTCAAACATCTGGGCTCTGCATGTAGCAATGATATTGGGAAAAATTGGAAGGAGAATTAACATACAGGGAATATAAGTGCAATTTCAATGTCTTTACACTTGTAGCTAAATATAACTTCATCAGTATGGTCGTGATGTATTATATTAGTATGCCAATAATCTAGTTTCTCATGTGGCTTATATTATGATAGCAAGTCAGAACTGAAATTTGGCAGTAGAGAGATCAAAAGGATTTCCACATCTGGCAGGTAGGCCATTCACTTTACATTTAACCATACAGCAGTCTATAGTCCCGGAATTGTGTTCCTCTCCTCACCTCAAAATGCCACAGTATACAATTTCTGTACAAGAGATGCTGAAGGGAAGCACCATTTGTACTTTTTCCCTTTTGCCTTTTGAAACAATTAAGCTTTATGAAAAGGTGGAAAGCCAAATCATCATTTACAAGCAGACATGCCAAAGAGTATGTTCTCAGTGGAGATCCAGTGAAAACACATTTGGACTTCAAAGAAAGAGCCAACTCTGCAGTGCAGAACTTGGTAAGACTGCCTGGGAACCAGAAGTCTTTATCAGGAAATGCCAGAAGTCTGCCAGACCGTCACAGCGAGCAGATCAAGAGAAATTTACTTTGCCTCCAGCTTTGATTCTACATGGAAAGAAAAGCTTACTTAATGTAGCTGTGGAAAAAAAAGGAACCTTCAGACAATCACTAAATGAATAATTAAAGATATATTAAAAAGTTATAAGGTGTCTCTATGAAAGGTTTTGCCTTGACCAGCCATGGTTATTCTATGCCCGAGTGTAAAGTAACCAACTCCAGAATGCATTTTGTTCTCAAAACAGATGTACAATGTAATGTCACTTGATCCTCCTCCTACCTTTTCATAGGTAATACTACCACTGAGGGCATGAAGTGTAATTATGCTAAAACTTGAATTAAAATGCCACTGCAATCTTCCAAATTCACTGTATGCTGTGAACATAAGGCATATTTGGCATTGATTAATGCACATCAACTCATCCTCCAATGGAAGAATGTTTGCTTTTAATAATCAAGTAGGCATTTAACATATGAAGAATTTAAACATCACCAGCAAATTACAAAGAAGTTAGACGTAGGTATCAGTTGCTACTCATGAAAAAGGTGTCACTTACAATAGGTGACAATGGCTTAAGTACTGTCAAGTAGGGCTCTGCAGTTTCTCCTCATGTATCCACTACAGAGTAACTGTTGCTCCATGGAACAATACACTCCCCTACTTACAGGGCAGCAGCTCATCTCTTTTTTAATGGTGATCGAAGCGGGAAAGTGGGGAGTAGCAGAGAGTGATTTAAGGGTCAAGAGGAGAGGTTGACTGCTCACGAGTCATCTGTAAGCTATGCTGTGAGACCCCACAGCACAGAGCATAAGCAAACCCTGCTAAACCACTGGTGCTGTAAAAGGCAATGAAGCCTCTTGCAGGAAAGATGCAGCACACAGTCAATTTTCTATGTTTGGTTTTAAAGTAAAATAACTGTAACAAAAAGGAAAGTGAATGGTTGCTTGCATATTATTTACTAGACACAAATTCAAAGCCCAGGGAACAAAAAGGTCAGCATACTAGAGACAGAATTATTATACAGGTCAAACTGTTCAAGGAATCAGATGAATCTCATCCCAAAAGTGTGTATACCTTTTTGATAGTAATTTTTCATTTTGCAAAAAGCAAAAAAAACTGGATTAAGAAGCAAAGGTGCACTTGTATTGGGAATTTGTATAGGTTTCTTCTATTGCTTCAAAGGGATTCTGATCATAAATTTTTATTTCTTCAACATATACATTAGAAGTAGGAATAACTTCTCCGAAACATCACAGGTCCATTAGTAAAGAGTGTTCTAAAATTAACCCGGTATTAACTGAACTGGTAGTGAACTATCAGACAGAAACCTAATGGAAGCAAACAAGCTGGACTCAAATGAACCCTGGAGATCAAGTGATTTGTGTTAGCTGCTGCTTCTGATGTAGAATCCAATCCAGGGCTCAAGAGGGTAAAAAAACCCATGGATTTTCTATTATACTGAATGAAAATTATACAGCTTATAGAGCTCCTTATTTTTCAGAATTTATGTTTTCTAATAAAAAGGTCTCTTTCTTAAACCATGGTGAAACATGGTGCAGGATCTCGTATTTGTCCACTGAAAACATGGGGCATAGATAAATAAACAACGATATACTTTAATGCATTACTTTCCCCTTGTAGTTCAACAATAAAAATGACTGAAAAAGCAAGAAGAAAATACTTTTAAAGAGTATATTTCTTCCAATAATCCTAGAAGATCTCTATTTTTGGGAAGAAATAAAAAGTGAAATAGATGAAAATGAGGATGATTTGCACATCGGCAATAAAAACAATTATAGTTCCCTGGATGAGACAATCACGACTAATCGTCAGAAATCACTGACTGAACAATGCAATCCAGATTCAATTCTTCCTCCATACGAAATTCTGACTAACAATAGGATATCTTGTGGGCTCAGCAAAATTTATTTAACTTAATGTCATTTGGTAAACTTGTGTTTGTGTTGCTTAATATTTTCTACCCCTGTCATACAAGTCAAGGACAGTAGCTACCATAATATCCAAAGGCAGAGAGCCCATTAAAGAGCTTGAAATCTAGCGGTGCAGGAAATTATTATTATTAATCCAGTCCTAGTAATTGTTAAAACATCACTTCATGCTTTTCTTCTGTTATTCTTCTTCTTCTCTGCTAGAAATTATGATTTCTAAATCAACATTTTTGAATAGTCTTTATAGGACTACACTCTCTGGTTTCCAATTAGGTAATATTCCCAATTCTACTGGAATGGGTGTATAAGTGAAAACGAAGTTGCTTGCTTTTGTTTAGTTTTACTTTTACTCTATAACACCCAGTTTTCTGATTCTCTGTAAAACGGGCTGTAAGACTGTGACTGTATACAGTTCACAATATTTTTCCTCCAAAGTATTCTCATTTTTGTTAGAGAAACCATGCATGAAAAAAAGTGTTCTGCCCTATTGAAATGAAGCCTTAAAATACTTGTGATTAAAGACTCAAAACCCATGAAAACAAGGCAAAGCCCTGCTGTGAGAGAGCCTTCAGGATGAACAGAATCACAGAATCCTTTAGATGGGAAAAGACCTTTAAGATCATCGAGTCCAATCATTAACCCACCATTAAGCCATGTCTGTAAGTGCCATATCTACATGTCTTTTAAATATCTCCAGGGATGATGACTCCAACACTTCCCTGTTCCAGTGCTGGACAACCCTTTCGGTAAAGAAAGTTTTCCTAATATCCAATCTAAGCCTCCCCTGTCACATCCTGAGGCCATGTTATATCACTTGTTACCTGGGAGAAGAGACCGATCCCCATCTCACTACAACCTCCTTTCAGGTAGTTGTAGAGAGTGATAAGGTCTCCACTGAGCCTCTTTTTCTCCAAGTTGAACAACCCCAGCTCCTCCTAATCAGAGTTGCATTCCAGACCCTTCACAAGCTGCATTACCCTTCTCTGGACATGTTCCAGCACCTCAATGTCTTTGCAAGGTGCAAGGTGCAGTCTCAGCAATGCCAAATATAGATCAACACTCCCACCCAACTTGGTGTCACCTGCAAACTAACAGGTCATCTCAATCCCAGTCCAGAACATTGATATTAAACAGGACTGGCCCCAATACTGAGCCCTGGGGAACACCACTAGTGATTGGCCATCAACTGGGTTTAGTTCTATTCATCACCCCTCTCTGGGCCTGGCCATAGAGCCAGTTTTGTACCAAGCGAAGAGTGTGCCCAGAAAAGAGTACAAACCTGATGACTTGATTACAGTGTGCACACATGGGAGTGCGCTTTCCCGCTGGAATATGCTCTGCTCTCTGAACCAACGTGTCTTGTTCATTTAGCTGAGGTGCTGTGTCAGGTTTTTCACTTGAGGCAGTTGTTCCAGGTGATTTAATACTGTTCGATGTCCATCCACTGGCAGGAACTGGGGAAAAAGTGCCAAAGCATTTAGAAGACCATCTTTTAGTACCAAGTAAATTAATCTGAAATACAAGCAACAAATAACATTTGCCTAACGTCTTTGTCCAATGTATACCCGCCTACTCAAATGGACAAATTAAAAAGCGCTCATTTCCCCCTCCTCCGCCATTAAGTTACAAAATCAGTCCTACCTACTTTATGAAACATCTGTGAAATAACACAGAATGCTTTTGGCTAACTTGTAGAAGTAGTGGACAAATTTCAGTATGATGAAGAAGTTAAGGAAAAGAATATACAACCTGTGAAAGCATTATTTTGCTTTAGATAGAAAAGTTGAAGCCAAGAATATCAGTGTATGAACAGAGGCAGGAGAGTATGACATACCTACTCAAAACATTTCTCACTGAGTGCAATAGATCATACATCATTACTAACAGGTTAAACAAGAGTACACATTAATACAACATGTACAGGAACTTAAAATAGAGTACTGTATAAGGAAAATATATTTCTAAATTAAAATTATACACTACTCTAGATCACTGGATTCTGCCAATCTAAAGCACTCCAAAGGTCATGTTCACATCCTCCTTATAAAAGTTATGATACAAATAAAACCCTGACATTTTCAGAAATGTACACAAGACACACTTCCATGTCTACTCAGGTTTTTAGAGTTGTAGAACAGACATAAGTTTTTGTGGAGTTCGAAAAATGCATTTACAAAAATGAAAGGCACAGATGATACTGTTGCCCAGGGTAATGAAAAAACAAACATTCCTCTGCTTTTCTTTCTCTTCTATTGATATATCTACCTTGGTAACGTACAAGCTGCAGCAACAATAGTTTATGGGAGCAGTTATTCCTGTCAAGTGGAGATACCTTTTTCTTTTTCAAGTATGCTATAAAACCCCCCACATTTCCATAGCCTTTTGTTTGCAACCACAGGCAAAAGAAACCATGAGTGTTTACTTGGTGTCTTGGCTTTAGTGCAGCCTTGCCAAACCTTGTAAATCAAAAAGTGAAATTAAGATTTGAATGGAAACTCAGAGACAAACAACAAAGCAGTGACTGAGACATCACACAGTGCAGGATGATACTTCTGCTGCAAAGATGCAGCTCTCCAACACCAGGGTCAAGGCATCGGTATGTAGCTTTGCAAAAAAACTAGTTCGTGGAGCTGGTAATCTTTGTGCTATTCATCCTCTCTCATTCTTCCTATCATCTTGCACGGAAAAGATGAAAAATTCTTTCTCATTATCTCCATTAATGTAATGCTGATCAGCCTCTGTCCATTGAAAAGTTGCAAATACCGTTCAGGCAAAACAATGCATTCCCTGCTCAGAAGGGGCATACTAATTCACAGAGAAGATGTGAATCTACAGAAAATCCAGCAGAAATGCCAATACTGTGTTATTTACAGAAGTAAGACAGCCAAGCACTACACAATTTAATCAAAGCAATACCATGAAATTTAGTTTACAACCCCCTCCTCTACTCATGCACAGGCTGAGGCAACACAGCTGGAAGAGAACTCCTTTTTAAAACCAATACTTTCGTACTATAATTACGCTTGGTATTAACCTGCTGATATGGGCTCAAAACCTACTTTTGCTTACTCTTTCTATGTATAAAGAAGCAATATATTTATACACCTTTTTTTTGTTTAAATGGTTGGTTCATCAAATTTTCTCATACCAGGTCATTTCAACACTGACATATTTTTGGATCCTTTTCAGAATCTGAAGCAGTAAAAAGTATAACAGTCCATCAGGGTTGCTTTTTTTTTTTTTTAATACAAGGTTATTCATTATATTTAATGTATAACTAATTAATTTGCAATGTCCTGAAAAAATAACATCTTAATCTTGAAACATTCAACATTTCTGAGTAGAAAGAATTTAGGAATAGAAGCACTTAATCTTGAACAAGTCACTCTGCTACTGTACTTCAGTTTATATGATAAATGCCTGCTAAGCTGAAAACCTAGGAACAGATAAAAATGAAAAAGGTGGCAGAACGGCTTTGAAGACATGAACAAAAGTGGTGTTGATTAATAGCACTTTCCTCCTCTGTCATCACACATGGCTTTCCAATTTTCAGATCCCATTTCATGAGAATACAGCAATACACACTAAAACCAAATCTGTTTGAAGACTGCTTTTGCCATAAATCAAATTGCAGCATTGCTAATTTCTGTTTATCTACTGAATCCCAAAGCCCATTGAGACACATCAGCTAGCTTATTTGCACTGTGTTGTTAAAAAAAGTCTGTCTGCTTGCTTACAGTGGAAAAAAAAAGTACAAACATCACAATTGTTCCCTTTTCTTTGGTCTCATTACAGCTTTCATTAATGCTGTTTTTATGAATGATGCTTTTCTGAACACTACCTAACTTCAAAGTTACTGCCGGCCAGGAGAAGAATTTCTCTATGTAAACCTTCTCTACAAAGCAGTCATTTCTGAGTTATTTGAAACACTAAAAAAGGAGAGAAGGAGATAGTCCATCATGTTAAAACAAAAATTCTCTTTTAAGAAAATTGTAACATAAACCACACAAATCAGTATCATGCTAAGCAAAAGCTGTGACCTAAGCAAAACCAAGCTGGGCATTTAGTGTTGAGGATCAGCAAAGGCAAATGGACCCACTCCACTTCCACTGAAAGCAGTGCACTCAAGCTCAATGCCCAGACCTTCAGCAGATGTAGGACTCCTATGAGATCACAATGCCAACAGAGTAAGAGGAATAACAAATAAGCCCTAAGCCTTCAGATCATCCTGTATTTGCCAGAGTATTTCTGGGCACTGGACAAAACCTACGTTCTAAAAGGCTTTCTACTGCCATTTGTGAATTTCTGTCACTATCTGGTCAACTATGATGGGAACAATATCTAATGAATCACTGCAGATGCCATCAGCATCTGAGAACTAAGACAGAAGAAGTTGCCTTCTGCCCAAAAACGCTTGGAAAGCGAGGACTCAAGTTTCTTTCCATTTAGATTTTTCTTCCTAAAGACAAGTCTGCTTCCATTGTCTTCAGATCCATACTCTGTAAAATACCTTCATATCTATTTCACTGCATTTATTATACTGGATTCTTTATAAACCTTCTACAGTTGTTCTCTAGATTTATTTTTCTTTCACCATAGATCATTATTCCTCTCTCACTGCTTGATTTGTCTCAGTCTTTTATCTTCCTTGTTCCATTCTGAACACCAGCAGAAGGACATCTTTTATTGGCCACTTTTGTCTTTCCATAGGCCACAAACATCCCTTTAACACTTCAGTAATTTTACCAGAGATTCATTACTTTCACTGCAGTCCATAGAGCATGTTTTTGTTTGTGGTGGCATTTTTGTTTAGTTGGTTTGCTTTTGATTTTAAAGCCCCCTACTATTAACTCCCTACTTAAATATATATGAATTCTCAGTATTTTTTTCCAACAATACTCAACCTCTTGTAGCTAGAGAATTTCAAATATTAGGTCTGTTTTTTGTTTAGAATGAACACTGATTTTCCCCACCTATTTTTTATACTTAAACAGCAAGTTTACCAGTACTGGATGAGATGTTTTTACTGCAAACAGAGAGGAAGGAGACATTCTGTGAGTTCACGTATTCTCTTCCTCTACTTTCTCTTCCCTATTCCCTTGGAAATCTTTCAAATTGAAACACAACCATTTGATTTAAAAACATCAGGCCCAGAAAACTGGTGCAGGTGGTTTTTTTTCTTGCAATGAGAAGATTTTACCAGGGCACATTAGTAGTGCCGAGGTAGGTCCAAATCATTACACTCAACCTAAGTGAAGACCTCTCAACTCTTCGCAGTCTGAGCTCTCCTGTGGTTTGTGCTTTATACTTTGCTTTTTAAATTTTACATATGTGATCAGCAGCTTTGTTCTCAAAGAGTGCTAGGGAGATGTCCTCATATCCGAGATCTGTTGTGGTGCATGCACATTTTTAATTGTGAATAATAACTGCATGGGAATGGGAAAGGAAACCACTCCAGCTTCCTCACGACACAATTTCACCCCGTAATTTTCTGGTTGGCACCTTTGCTGCTTGAAACTGAACAAAGCACAGCAACTTCTGTGGGTGGTCTGAAGATTTAAAATTATAATAATAAATACAGTTAATAAATGAAAGAAATAATTTATAAGAATTATACACCCCAGCAGGAGCTATTCTGACCCGAGTGCCAGAGAGGTTTGGGTTCTCTGCAAGTCATGAAAAGATCTCTGTGGCCAGATTTTGGAGTTTTGCAGGCTTCACTTCATATTCACTCTCTTTAATTAAACATTCTAAAGCAGTGTTGATTTGCACTAGAGTATTGTCATTACTGTTTTTTTTTTTCTAAAACAGAAAACACACTGTACCTGACTATTAACTTTCTACTTTATTAGGTTAAGTTTAGCAAACCCACGGTGTTTGCTTTCACTAAACTCCTTGGTATGGCCAGTTTAATATTTAACAGTCTTTTAGGCAAGGTAAAGAATTGGCTTTTTAAAATTTTTTTTAAAAATCCCAGTGTGACTTTGCCCTCGATAGTCTAACAATAGGCTGTTCCATCGCTGAGCACATGGATAACTGCAAACACTGGTGAAAGGTTTGGAAGACAAAGGGAGAAAGGCGGATACGCAGTGGTGCCAAAGTCACTTTGACAGAGGTTCTCCGGTGCGTAGCAACAATACAACAGCCTGAACTGTTTAACGCTCACTTAAACATAACATCAGACTTCATGTAATATCTATAAATAACAATGCTACTTTAAGCAGTGGGAGTGTCAGAGCTTCATTTTAAAGTGTTCTAACTCAGTGATTTATACACTTCTATTAAACTACTGTATTATAAATGGAAAATATAGAGCTTCGTACGTCCAATTTTCTGACTTCTCTTAATATATCTGTGGTGTAGGAAATCTTCCTGTTCCTTCCTTCCAAACCAAACATATGGCTGGATGAAGCAACGTGTCTGAAAAGCTCGGTTGTCAGCTCATTGCAGTAGC